TATCTTCGATTCAGGGCGATATCGAATAAAGAATTTATCGTTAGCTCCTGGTCTTTACAGTTATTCGAAAAATAGTAAAATCTACCAATACTTCGAGGTGTTGTATCTCACAAACCAATCAACGAAATTTTAAAATTTGAACACGTAAATTCACGAAAAAATTGGTTTAATTAATTCATGATATTTTAATCATATGTTACCATTCGAAAATCAAAAGTTGATACTAGTTTCGCCAATAAATATAAGGGTGAAAAAAATTTAAATATTATACTGTTTTAGGAAAACATAAACCTAAAAGTTTAAAAAAACAATTTAAAAAATGTTAATATTTTTCAAGATAATTAGTGTACTCACTTAGATGGATCATCCTGTATATCAGGTGCCTTGTATTAAATTTTTAAGCTTTTTTACTGGACAAATTTTAAGAACATTTATAGATAAAAACCTCAATTTGGAAACAGTTCAAAAGAAGTCAAAATATTTTGAAAATTTAATCATGTAGGTACCAATGTATAGTAAATGTTAATATAAAWAACCATTGAAAATKTCATATATCTGCGGTCATTTTTTTTAGAGTTACGCCTAACCAAAATCGATCTTTGTTAAAAACCAATTTTACGTAAGGATTCCCGTTTTTCCTTATTTTTATTTTTATTTTTTACTTAATTCACTCTCCTATCAAACAAGATATTGCCGAAGTTGAAAATCGAAGTTTTATTTCAGCTATTTTATATTTATATTTTATTGTGTACATGGATACAAAAAAAAAATATATTAAAAATTTAAAAAAAAACCCGAAAACTGTAAAACCAATACATTCATTGCTTCACTAGGAATCTAAAAATTCTAAAGTAATCACTGATTACTGATTTCTAATCAGTATTACGCTTATTATTATTAAAATATATTTGAATAATGAATATTTACCTTCCCTTTAGGATTCCTTTTATGTGGAGATTGAATGCCTTCCATTATTTAAAAAATAAATGAAAAAAAACAGAAAACACTGTGCACAGTCGTAGAGGTAAAAAAGTAGATCGTACTTCGTAGAGGTTAGACAGCTCACAAAACGCAATTTCCATGTACTAGCGCGCCCTGGCTCCGACWCGTAACCATGAAAAGACCATGGAATAAAAAAATAGGGGTGTTTTTTCCCTTAGTTTTTTAACGATATAACTACGCATGCGCAGAGAACTCGCAGAGGTTTACGCGCGACGCACGCACCCGCAGGGACACCGCGGTATTCACGCGTAAACGCACGCACATTGGATCGGGCATAAACACCGCCCACTTTCGGGTCATTGGTGCGCAGCGACTGATGAAAACTGGTCGGCCGGCGTGACCGTTCTCTTTTGGAACAGAGTATACAGTCCAAAGCCGATTACAATAAATACATAATAAATTCACTAAACTCTTTTTTGTCTAATCCTAAGTAATTTTGGCAATTTTTAAAAAATTAACACTCAAATAATTCTCTACCTACTTCAATTTCTTAAATAAATCAGTCAATAAGTGGTGGTGAAGAAATAGTTTGTAGATTTGCTCATTATTTTATAACTGTTTATGTTAATTCGGACACGTTATCAAATAATCTTGACCCTTCTAAATTTTCCCCTGTCTTAAACTCCGATTTAAACTTATTGTCTGTAATCTTAAATGTTACTGATGTTTTTAATGAATTTGACACGATTAATTATAAATCTAACCCTGGCCCTGGCCCAGATATGATTCCAAGATTTTTTTTTTATCCGCAAATTCGTTTTAACTATTCCACTGTTGTATTTATTTAACCCATTATTATCTACAGATACTTTTCCAACATCAATCTTTAAGGGTGGGGATGTAACTAGTATAATAAATTATCGTCTAATCTGTCTACTTTCTATTATTCTAAAAATCTTCGAATCAATTATATAAAAAAAAACTTCTCTGGTCCCTCGACGTAAAACTAGGTCATCCACTATGTTTTATGGTTTTTAAGCGTAAAATAAATTACGCTTCAGCTTCGCCTATGAATAGAATAATGCCAAAAGCTAATGATATAAATGTTGATTTGCTCAACTTTAATTCTATTTAATCTTATAATATTTAT